GCGCCGCGAGCGCCTGCCGGTACGCCTTGGCCGACACCACCAGGTCCGCGTAGGCGTCCTGCGACCGCGCCAGGTCCGCCTTGGTCAGCACCGCGTGCGCGGGCGGCGGCGGCGGCGGCAGCGGCAGGCCAAACTGCGAGATGGGGTTGGCCGTCGACGCGATGGAGTAGACGGGCGACGAGGGCACCGGCGGGAGCTGCGACAGCGACGGCGAGACCGGCCGCGATTCTTGGGCGGACGGCATCAAGGGGCGTAGAGGCTCCGGTGAGCGGCTGTGCGTGTTTATAGTCTGCGATTTTCGTCTCGTCTCGTTCCTGTCGTCTTTCGTCTCCCCTCCCCTTTCGATCGTGGGCGTGGGGTCGGAAATTCCTTTGTTTTGTTTGAGGTGCTTAATTGAGTTATGGGGCAGCAGCCTTTATAGAGGGAGGGGAAGTCTCTGGTCGGCGCGCATGCCGTGGCCAATGTTGGCCTATTGTTCTTCAAAACTTGATGATTTCGGACGGCAAAAATAGCAAAGCCGGAGTTTCTTGACAAGGAGATCAAGCGAAATCTCGGCGTCGTCGGCGGACTGCAGTGGATGGTGTTCCAATTTGGCCCGTTGCCATGCGAGTCACCTTTCCTTGCGGGTCTTGAGGCGGCGTCACGTCACCTGGCTGCAGTAGCGGGCTCTTCAGTACTGCAGGTGACTTATAACCCGAAGCATGCATAACGTCTAATGGTATGTAACATTGATAGAAAATAACATACGATTTAATCATCTCGTGTGTTTCTCCTGCGCGGTCTTTCCTCTGAAAAAAAAAATTTGGTTGCTCTCCATCGCGCGGATACGAATTGTCCTGCTGTCCGGTAACAATACAAGGCTATTCTAATACCGTGTAAGCCGATGAGCCATCGTAAGTGGTGAGAAGGCAAGTTGCTCGCATTCTGCCGAATACACAATAATCTCGAAAGAGCCGAATAAAAGAAATAAACAGAACCTACACACAGCAGTAGAGAATAGCAGATACTTCGAACAAACCCGTATTAAGTGTGTATTTGCCGAAAATCTCGACATTATCAAGAGAATAACCATGGTCGCTTCCAATACGCTTTATTTATGTGATGAGTAATCCAGTCTCACTATTCCATAATACTGATATCAAAGTCTCGACTCCATCCCAGCTCAAGCTTCCTTCCCATCGGACCACAAAGCCAAGAGCATGCGCGATGCAAGAATGGCACAGCTATCTCCCCCCGAGCTCTGCTGAGAGGTATTAATCTCGCCGCGATGTGACCTGGATCGATGTTGCGGCCGCCGCCTGCTTGCAGCCAATAGCACGTTCGTAGATCGCGCCATTCAACCCACTCGACGGCCGGCATCACCATGTGCTTTCGGCAGGTGCTGCAGGTGAGACCTCCAGAGTGCTTCTGGTCCCCAACCTGGGTCACCAGAGCGCGTAGCTGATACAGCTCGTCAGGAATATACTGCGCAAGGATCTCCGGCTTCGCGATACGGTAGCAAGACCGAAGAGCTGCCTCCACTAGGCTGGGCACTCGGCTCTGCTTCACAGCGAGTGCATCATCACTGCCTTCGAGTACCACTTCCTTGTCGCTATCATCCAGCTCCTGTCTGGCGAACTCAACGGGGAGGTTTTCAGCGTCCAATGACAAGCAAAACTTTGATGTACGTTGGCCCTTGGACGTTGTAAGCTGCAAGGGGGTCTGGCCAAGGAATCTCCCCAAAACTGCAGGTCGAATGGCGCCGGCGCGCATGCTCACGACGTAATCGTGCACATCCATGTTCCCGTTGTCTGAAATATCCCCAATTACGCGGTCTGGTTGCGCAAAAGGGTTCGGAAATAGCATCAGCTTCTTCAACCGTCCTGCGGGGCCGATGAGGTCAAGAAGCTGTGGCGGCAACGAGCGCAGCTTATTCTGGGCAAGGTTGAGCTCTCGCAGATTGGTCAACTTGGCGATGGATACTGGAATCTCCGAAAGCTTGTTATCGCGGAGGCTCAGAACAGTGAGAAAGGTCAGATCGAACAGGTTTCCTGGTAGACGCCGCAGCCTGTTCCTCGCGAGGTAGATTTTTAGTTCCGGGTCTTTCTGCTCGAATGCGACATCACGATCGACCTGTGGAATGCAGGAGAGCTGCGCCAAAGGTGTTATTGTTTCGTTGGAGAGGTCTTCCAGACCCAGTGACCAGAAATCAATGGACTCGTTGCCTTGCTCCAGGCATTCGCGGATCTTCTCCTGAGCCACATGCTCAGCCTCAGATAATATGGGCACGGCCGGCCGCCCGATGCGCGGGAACTTGCTATGGATGGGAAGTTCCATCGTCTCGGGAGCACTGTCATTGTCGGTTGCGCCGTCGCTGCCCAGAAACACGCCACTGTCCAACTGTCGTCGTAGTATTCGTTTGGGCCGCGGCAGAATTTGCTGTGTCTCGCTAAAGGTTGAGTCCGAGGACGTTGGAAATTGTTGATACCATGAGCCAACATATTTTCGCTTGCGGCGACTGGTAACATAATTGTCCAGACCGGGATCGTCGTCGCTGGAGAAGACTGCTGGGTCACTCGAGTTGTACAAGCCTGGCGCCGTTGTGCCCGTGTTGGGATGGACAGGTCTCAGGCGCTTCCGAGAGCCCTTGGCGAAGGTTTGCGACTGCTCATTCCATGAGACGGCAGGAAGTGTAGGCAGTGACGGCTCCTCACTCATGATGCCAAATTATGTAAAATTATAGTACAGAGTTGAAAATGCAAGCCTCCCAATATGATATTACCTCCACGGGGGGACGCGTCGAGACGCGATAAGTACCTAGTTTAAAGTGGATACACGTGACAGGTCTCCAATTGCCCCACGGAAGATGCGGGGCTCTAACGTTGTACTAGGTATAGTACCTAATTAATTCCAGGGTCTTCGAACTTTTAGTTTCTTCAATAAAATCCAATCTGTCAGTAAACGTCCTTGGACGGATTCAGACACGATTTGATACGTATAAATTCGACGTTGGGCGCATGCAAGTCATCCCAGCTGAAAGAGCCTTGATCGTTACCCCCGCCGATGCTCACCTGGTGATGTACGTACACAGTCACGCTGCAGGATCGGCCGCAGGCGTTTCGAAGCTTTGTTTCATTTTTAAAACGCCGAAATAAATTCTCAGTCCCAGTCGTCATCGTCTTCGTCCCCATTGAACCGACCGGCAGTTCCAGTCTTGATAGTTTTGCCGCCCGCTAGGCGCTCCTCTTCTGCATCCTGGGCAGCCTGTCGCCTCTTTATGATGCGCATGTCGGATTCCGGTACGGCGCCCACTTCTACCAGCATATCATCGATGTTGCGCATCGTTGCGCGCACGCCGCCAATAGTCATGAGCGTAACAACCTGCTTTACGATGTCGCCTTTGTTGTACACCAGAATGGTGGGGCAGTTGCGATCGGGGTAGTTTTCGATGGCTTGGTTCGCGCGAATTTCGCAGAATTTGATGTCGCCGTACTCTTGCGCCGCCTGTCTCCAGAGGTCGGAGAGCACACGTGATTCAACGTTGGTGCCCATGCTCGCCGTAAGGTTGACAAACACGGGGCCTTTCTCCGAAGCATCTGTGACTTCGCGCTGGTAGTCTGGTTTCGATATGGGGTATACACTGCCATGTATAGCCTTCTTTTGCAAGTTGTTGAGCTCTGCCATGCGCTTTTTGCGGTATTCTTCGAGGAATGCGTCATCCTCTTCGTCTTCCAGCTCGTCGAGTTCGTCCAAATCTTTGCCTTCGAGTCTGTTCTCGTGCGCAAGTCGCCTGCCTTCGAGAATCGCTTCCTCGATCATCGGTGTGGGACTCGGCGGCTTCTCTGGAATGACTCCATGCTTGCGAAGGATATCATTCCTATTGCGCGTGTTAGAGAGCAGCTAGTTGTAGCTCCTCGCCTGTGCGGGGTGCTTGCCATTCCGTGTCCGCGTTGGGATCATCGATCGGTACAGAGATTCTTTGTTCCGAAGGTGCCGCCATTGTGGTTCATTCACCCGTGTGAAGCTATATGGGAAGCCACTGCTTCAAAGAGGGAGATATTAACAGAAAGTAAGAATGCTGTAGCCTGGCGCCCACGTCACAGCAAACTCGTCCCCCTCCCCTCGTTGTACATGCCCCACCAAAGCTTTGTGCCTGGGCAGAACGGAACATGGCTTGCACAAATAGACCCATAATTTATTGTGCATAAAAATTTCCAAAAATCCGCCACGATGAGTAACCAGGGTGGGGGACCTGACGAATCAGCGCGGCCCAAAGTTCTATCACGTGTGCGTGGGCAGCCAAACCCTATGACACTAATCTACTTTGGACGAAATTCTGAGCCGGAGGCGAACCAGAATGCCCCCTCGAGTCCACCGAACTTTTCCTCGTTTAACTCCTCTCACCCATCTTGCGAGCCTCCAAATCGTCACAGATTTCGTCAAGCATCTCGATTCTCGCAAGAACACCGATATTTTTCTCGAGTTAATCCGTCAAAATGGTAAGCGACTCGCCGGTCTAGGCGAATTTTGGAACATGAGCCCGCGCCGGATGGATTGGAACAAACGAACGAGATGGACTAAAACCCGGAAACCGACAAACCCATCTCGAAAAGAACGACGCGCCACCACGCCTACGGCCCGACGACAATTATCGATACCGGGAGGGGCTCATGTTTCATTGTTCAGCAAGGATACTTTGCGTGGTTATGGTTTGAGGATGCTAATTTGATGGCTTGTCTAGGTTCTCGCTGTCGATCTCCTGAACCCGTCCGCGGCTTCTGAGGCCCGGAAGCACAAGCTCAAGGTACGACGCCCACCGACAAACTAGCGACGAAACCGAATGCGACGAATTGGCTTCTAACAAATCTCTCTCCGCAGACTCTCGTCCCCGCTCCCCGATCCTTCTTCATGGACGTCAAGTGCCCCGGCTGCTTCGTCATCACCACCGTCTTCTCCCACGCCCAGACCGTCGTCATCTGCCAGGGCTGCACCACTGTTCTGTGCCAGCCTACCGGCGGCAAGGCCAGACTCACTGAGGGCTGCTCTTTCCGAAGAAAGTAAACTGCTTCGCGTTCGGGGCATGTTTCTTTTCTTTGGTAAATTGATGACTCTTATGGTTCAAAATCACTCGGTGATTCATCTTGGATCTGCAAAAAAAAAACAATCACGCATTCTTTCGGGCGGTGGGCGATAGACAAACTACTCACTGGCGAACATAATCAATCTCTTTGCAGATAGAAGATGGGACACCCAGAGCAGGGGCGTTTGGGGTCTCCGGATATCTTGCATGGCACATCATTCTTCTCGTTTTTGCGATGTTAAAAAACAAGGCCTTTTTTGTACCAAGGAAGTCGTTTCTTGAGGCAGAAACAATCAAAAGCACTGCATTGGTGGACAGCTGGAGAAAAAGCGTTTTTCACATTGAGTGTCTGGCGCCGGGGTTCACGACAACCCTGCTTTTCGCGCCGGATACGAGGACGTGGCACTGCTGATTTTTGAGGATCGCTACATACCCGAGTGCAGTGTATTGTGGTAGAACGGCACTGTGCTTTGCGAAATTCAAAATGTTTCCACGATCAAATCTGCAGACCCCATGTCTTTTCGTGATGGAGCGTATGTTGAATTTGTGTGACTGTATGAGTATCGACGACGACTTGCCTGCCTCATTGCAGATGTATCCCAGACGTGCGTCTGTCCTGTACATGCAGACTGATCGTAGTGCATCAGTCATGAACCGCGGTGCTTTTGAACTTCCCCGCAGCTGAGAAAATAGTTGCTGTCATTAGCAAGCTGGTATCTGCAACTGACTTCTCTAACAATTCTGAAGGCATCACTGCTATATACCTAGGTAGGTAGGCTTGTGGAGTTGTCTCAATAGGGCGCTTGTGTGACGGCTTGAGCAAATATCATCATTTCTCTAGGGCAGCGCTGTCAGTACAAATTACACCGTAGCAAATTAAACCTACCTACACGAGATGTCTATTTTAAGGTTAGACTATAAATGCATGTCGATTCGAGTATTGTTAATTCGGAGGACTGCGATGGTAGTCAACGTGAGCCTGGTACAGTTGCCACCCACTGTACGAATTACCACCAATGCACACCAAACCATTACGAATAACAACTCAGCACAATTTCATTGGCCACCTTGGCCTGGTTTTAGCTAAACTGGAGGTGTACGGATACACCGATAATGCCGCGATGCAGAGCACCATATAGGTAGGTGGCCATAAAGGTTCGCAAAATGGTCGAGCCATTAGCCCTACATTTGCTTGTCGAATTTGAGTAACCTCGCAGGCCCGACGGTGTAGTGCTTCATGAGCTCCAGCCGCGACGAGTTGTCGTTTATTCAGAGCGATACCTTTCCATAGAGAAGGAATATTGGTTCATTGCAGATGACGAGAGAGCCCGCCGCTTGCGTCCCTGGGCTCAAAGAGTTCAAAAAGCAGAAGAGCAAACAATGCCTTAGTTAGCACTGTCGATGTGGCTACAAAGAGTCATCTTTTCACTGGGTAAGTTGTGCACATATTCTCCGCGCAACGTGTTGGCAGAGGGATCCTGGCTGACCCATACGCTCTCCTTTACATAGCGATCAGTTTGCGGCCGCGCTTTCTACTCTGCACCTAGATAGACTTTCAACATTGTACACTCTAGAAGTTTCCAAATGCGGATAGCGACCTGAATTAAGGGATCAAAACTGGTATGTAGCTTTACGACATCGATCAAGTTTTGGCCGAGAGTCATGAGGGCGACGACAGAAGGGGCAGGATATGGTGACTCCAGTACCAAGCTGAGCAATGAGCGCCACCATGGCTATCTGGGCGGCTATAACGATGAGACTTCAAATCAGAGTTATCGGCCTTGATTGAACGCTGGCCAAGAGATGGGTGGCTTTTTGGGACCGGTCGAGTGAGACTGCCCACCTCATAGCCACATACTTGGGGGCTGACGCTTTAAGGAGGTAAGAGCTCTTTTCTGTTCACTTCGATGACAATATTTGAATACAACCAGCAATTCCCCCCTCGCTCAACTGATCTTTTCTTGGGGCGTCTAAAAAGGCGGCTGGATGCCATCAGCGCCACTCTCTTGTCTTCAACCAGATGACTTGGCCGTTTGTGCAGCAAGTTCGGTTGAAAACCAGGGGATAATTCGTTGCTGTAGTAGTGACAGCTTATAAGAAACACTGCACTCATCTTCTTTGCTGAAACTGCCATGCGCAGAATGCCAGGCCTCAATTGCGTCCCGGATGGGGCACCGCGACGACGACGGCGCGGACGACGGCCCGCCTAGCGAGTCCTGAATAACCTCGTCGGTATGCGCCTCTAGACGCCGAGTGTAGAAAGTCTAAAATTATATTTCCGTATTTTTTTCGGGTTCCTTTCGATAATGAACAACTTGGCTATTGCCCGCACATGTTGCCAAGTTCGTGTATTATCAGTCTCCTTATTTTAGTTTCACCTTCCATCGTGGGACTGACTATAAGCATCATTTTTAACAATGCGAAAAATATCCTCAGAATGTCAATCTGCAACCAGTGGTAGCTGCATCTGCAAGATTATGCAGGCTGAGCTTGGCTGACAATGATTCGACAATTGATTGGCAACAGAGCCACTTTACGCGAAAAGTCGCGACAGGACGCGTCCAATACCACTGATGAGGAGCTCCACCTTTTCCCAGCGGCCGGGCAACCGGGCGCTGTGCCCTTGCCTGGTTTTTTGTCCAGATCTCAAGATAACGAGAACCCTCACTTGAACCCCCCCTGCATCTGTGACGCAACGACCGTTGCTCGTTCATCAACCCCTCTAAGACCCCTCTCCACTCCTCATTGCGACTTTCAATTTCGTTTTCGGCAAGACTGCGTTTTCCGCTTGCGATACTTGACATTTCCATATCAACCTTGCACAGCCTCATCACGTTCCAAACCCTGAATTGACACCTCACCCCGTTGGATACTACAAAGGAATCATCACCGCTGTTGCTGCAGGCCAGCCCGACGACAATTCTTTTGAATCTCACCGCGCCACACACCATCACTCCGTCCAATCCATCCATCATGTCCAGCACTGCCCGAGTCAAGCGCCCCTTTGCCGGCGCCGCCGCGGACCCGGCTCAGCGTCAAATCACCTCCTTCTTCGGCGCCCAGTCCGGTGCGCTCGCCGTCGAGACCGCCCGCCCGGCGCCCATACTGCCAGCCAGCGTCCAGTCGAACTTGCTGAGCGTCGGCATGCGCGTCCGCAAGTCGGTCCCGGAAGGCTACAAGACCGAGGGCCACAGCGCCTTCAAGCTCTGGACCGACACCACGACGCCCGGCGCCCCCAAGGTGGTCCGCCCCAGCACCAGGGTCGCCTCGCGCGAGCTCCTTCCGTTTTGCGGCATCAACAAGGTCGGTGGCTTCGAGTCGCAGCCCGCCTTTGTGCACGACGACGTGCCGGACGAGGACGCCGTGCCCGATTTGACCATGTCCCAAGAGACCGTCGACGGCAATGAGACCGCCACCCCGCCCTCCCGCAAGCGCATCTACGATGATGAGGAGTATGTGCAGCAGCTCGGTGGTGAGCTGAGCCCCGGGAGCCGCGGTAACGCTCGCCTCTTGGCCGTTCCTCACTCTCGCGTGAAGAAGAGCACCGTCCACAGGACCGTCGGTCAGGAAAACAGAAACGTCGACCAAGATTTTGAAGATGCTGACTTCCTCGTCTTTGATGAAGAGCAAGATTTGGACATGGTCGTTTGAAATTAGCGACCAGAATTGTACGGCAATATCATGTACTCTACAACGGCGGACTTATTCTTTTACTTGTTGTATTTTACGGGCGCACGGCGTTGGGACTCGCGAATCCAGACAAGCTGTAGATATCGTGCAGTAGCGGTACCTTGTTGGTTTCGACCTTTGGTTTATTTTGAAATATGCTTTGGCTTTTCGCCAGGGTATCTTAGTATAATTGAGCTCCAAAACTATCTTGACAAAATGCAACGGAAGCAACGTAATTCTGTGCAGTGCCAGTTCCCCCTTAACTTACATGCCGACAAATGGCTCCCGAAACTCAAGTAAATCTCTTTGCCCATAGAACTCGCCTGCGACTGTGAGGATCATGTTGAGCGTGGCCCGCATGTTCATCCGAGATCGCTCCCGGGCGGCGTCAAGTCTGTCGTCTTCGTCTTGGCCATCATCAGAAGCCTGTGCTTCTAGTCGAGCAAGAAAAGCATTCTTGGCTGCTTCCAATGACTCGTCCTTCTCGGGGGGCTTCTCCTCGTTATCCTCGCGAATTTCTCCCTCATCAGAGCCCGACTCTAGCTCCATTGCCACATCCTCCTCCTCCTCCTCCTCCTCCTCCTTGATATTGTCTTCTTCTTCCTCGTCCTTCATATTGCCCGTCTCTTTTACAGTTTCGGATGCCTCTGCACTCGGTGCACTAGCCTCATCGGGGCTCGCAGGCTCATCCGCAACAACCTCCTCGTCACTGCTGCTGGCGTCGACAGCATCATTCACTCCCAGCCCACCTTCGGCAAGCTCGTCGCGAAGGGCAGCCATTTCGGAGAGGCTTCTGCCCAGCAGCACAGCTCTTCGGCCGAGGTCTCTTATCCAACCAATTTCCGAGTAGTTGAGCTCTCCCCGCTCTGGTAGCCTGGCCAGCAGAGCCCATATCCAGCGGCTGGTGCGCTCAGGTACTGAATAGCCACGGCGCAGGAATTTGCCCCCCAGCATGATGCGCAGTATCCTGATGACGGTGTCTTTCGACATGCAAGAAATCTGAAGAGGAGTGGGGTCTGTATTGCGAAGAAGCGACGGCCATATCTTGATTGCTGTCGATCCTGGACCAAATGCCGCAACATGCGTAAAGTGCGAAGATGTAATCCGCTTGATTACATCCGCCGGAGGATTCTGGTTCACAATAAGACGAAGTTGCCGATACTGCTGCAGGATGGAACCAAAATATGCCTTCAGAACGGCTGATTCTGAAATGTGGCCGTCTTCATCTTCGGCTTCGGCCCAGTCATCGCTGCTTCCATCATCCGAATCTTCTTTTCGACCGATATAAGCTCCATCTTCGTAGAAACCTCTGGTATCGCTAATACCAGTGTGGTATATGCTTCGATCAACTTGATCGTCGTCTTCATCCTTGACTTCGCCATCGTCCGAACTCTTATGTTTGATTTTGACGAAGTCGCCCGGAAGCTTGGGACCAATTTCTTTTTTCGGCGCCGCGAGAACGTGTGGTATTCCGGAAGCTTGAGTTCTGAAGTTGCCATCAAGTTAGCAGGAAACCCGTTTGCAGTGGACGACTTGGTACTACTTGCCTCACAGACATGAGATATGCCATGGCGTCGGTGTCATCCTCGAAATCCGACTCTTCCCCAACAGGAATCGTGGTAGCATTGTGATAGTTGGCGAACACATATTTCTGGCCAGAGTCGGGATCTACCGACGAGTTCTGTGTCGGTCGCGACTTGCGCGAGCGCTTGCGTTCTGGCTCTGGCGGCTCCGTGACGTCCACATCTTCATGCTCGCGTTTGATAGACATGAATTCTAATAGCCAAGGTGAGAAATTACGCAATTCCCACACTCGGCAACAAGAGCGTAAACTCTACGCTGGACTGTTGTAGGTGGTGACCTTTTTGAAGCTTGGCTGCCTGACACAGAACGCTGAAATTGTAAAGCTCCAGCGGTGGAGTTCCGCACCACAGCGGAACTTAGCCCTCCACAGAAGCGCTACGGGTGGGTGTTTGAACTCTTCCAACTCCAAAGGGCAAAAAGGGCAGCCATGACGGTCGCAACGATGCGTCACTTGGCAAAATGCTCCGTCCGGGCAAGGCAAAGATTATTTGCGAACCGAGACAGTCTGCGGCGCCCGTTTGCGACATCCCGAGATGTGCAGCTGAACGCCTGCAACCACTTCGTTTCTCAAGGTCCGTAGCGGGCTGGCAAGCGCTACAGGACAGTTTTTACTGACGAGGATGCCATAGACGCCGCGACGGCTGACCAGACCGATACGAATACAAAATTTCGATTGGCTGTGAAGGACAACATCTCCACCACAGGTCTCCCGACACAATGCGCCTCTGGCATACTCGCCTCGCACGCTTCACCCTTCGAGGCGACCATTGTGAGGCAGCTCCGCGCCCGAGGCGCCCGTGTTGTTGGCAAGACGAACATGGATGAGTTTGGCATGGGGTCGCACTCGATGAACTCTGTGCACGGCGCCGTCTCTAACCCGCTCTCGGGAGACGAGCAGCTATCCGCGGGCGGCAGCTCTGGTGGCAGCGCTGTCGCAGTGCACCTCGGCGATGCAGACATTGCGTTGGGCACGGATACCGGCGGCTCCGTCAGATTACCAGCCGCCTATACAGGAGTGGTCGGATACAAGCCCAGCTATGGCCTGCTATCGAGGTTTGGGGTGGTGCCATATGCCAATTCGCTCGACACCGTTGGTGTGCTGGCCAAGGATGCCACTGCGATCCACGATGTTGTCTTTAACACCGGCCTTTATATGGAGAATGATCCGAACGACCCTACATCACTATCTCTAATGACAAGGCAACGATGCGCCAAGTCATTGCCCTCTCAGCTACCTCCGCTGTGCGATGTTACAATTGGGATCCCATCCGAATACAACATAGAAGAGCTCGATCCGGCGGTTCGCGAGGCTTGGGCATCGACTGCTTCGAGATTGGAAGAGCAAGGTGCACGTATAGTCTCCGTATCGCTGCCTTCCACAAAGGAGGCGTTATGCGCTTACTACGTCCTCGCCCCGGCCGAAGCGTCATCGAATTTGGCCAAGTACGACGGCGTGCGGTACGGAACGCGGGGTGAGAATGGAGATGCCGCCGGCGACACGCTCTATTCCGAAGCCCGGGGACTTGGATTCGGAGAGGAAGTGAAGCGCCGCATCCTGCTTGGCACCTACAGTCTGAGCTCGGAAGCGATTGACAACTACTTCATCCAAGCGCAAAAGGTCCGTCGGCGCGTGCAGCAGGATTTCGACAAGGTCTTTGGCCTCGAAAACCCTCTGTATGAGCCACAGCAGTTTGATCTCAGTGAGATGTCGGCCAACCTGGAGCTCGCGGACAAACGAGGACCTGTGCAAGTCGACTTCCTCCTCTGTCCTACGGCGCCATCGTTCCCGCCCAAATTGAAGGAGCTGGAGACAAAAAGCAGCGTTGACGCTTATACGAATGATGTGTTTACTGTGCCAGCCAGCTTGGCCGGCCTCCCTGCTGTCAGTGTGCCGGTTTGGCCGAAGCAGAGTCGCCTGCCTGTTGGCATGCAGCTGATAGCCCAGTACTGGGATGATCAACGGCTATTAGGGATGGCAAGTAAACTGCAGGATGTAATGAGCTCTTGATTGAGCGTGTATATTATACTGTATATATGTAATAGATTTGAATAAGCTCTTGAGACGGGCTTGAAGTCCTATGTCTCGTTCTTCGCTTTGGCATGCCGCGGGGTTGAGCGGCTTGCTCAAAGTTCCCCGTTTCGTGGTTTGCTGTAACCGCGTTCTAGGCCGTCTTCGACTGACGAGCTGTTGGTATGCAAATTACGGCTCTCCGAGAGCAATTGTGCTTATGGTTGTTGGCGTGTGGAAAGCATGTCTTGCTCTCAAGGACTTCGGCTGCTGTCGCTTCTGCGGCCCTCTTCCCTGTCGATATCCATGCCATCACGATCCGAGATTTCGCCTGATTCCTCACGACCATTTCTACTCCCTTCCTCGTCGTCTTCCTTTTCCTTGTCACCCTCCTCACCCTGCTCATCCTGCTCATCCTCCTCCTCGAGCAGATCCTCCAAGTCGCCTAGCGGGCTGACGCGCGGCTCCAGCACCTCCAAGTCCTCCAGGATCTCACGCTTTGGCATCTTCCACAAGCTCGTGGCGCACACGCGGTCCTTTGTGAGCAAGTCGTCGACAAACTCGTCGACGTACGTCAGCGTGGTGCGGTCGCGGCCCCTGCGGCGCAGCTTGCGGCGGTCCTCGAGGAAGGGCTCCAGCGTCGCGTACACGTCCTTGGCCTGGCGCGTGAGGCGCAGGTAGAAGCAGGCGAGCGCGCGCAGGTACTTGAAGTGCTCGCCGCCGTAGGCCAGGTACTCGGCGATGACGGCGTCGGACGGCGACAGCTCGAGCAGCTTGAATGCCAGGCACAGAAACGGGCTCGGCTTCTGCGTCATGCCCGACGTGCCGCCGATGAAGCGCACGTGCTCGACGACGCGGTCCACAATGTCGGCCTCGTTGAGCGCGAAGCACTGCTCCTTGTAGAAGTAGCTGTCCGTGATGCGATCCTTGACGGCCTTTTCCATAATGGTGGCGGGGTTCAGGCCGTTGGGCGCGAGGCCGACGTTGCTGCCGCGCTCGTCGAGGAAGCGCCGCGCGTCGGCCTGGATCGTATCGGATTTCGACATTTCGGAGCGGCGTATGAGGGGGGCAGTTTTGGACTCTGTCGGCTTCCGTTGCGCTCCAGCTAGGTTCGATTGCGATGGATTGCGACGCGACGAGATTCAGCTTGCTTGCGCTTCAAAAAAGCTAGGCCAGCTGCGATAAGATTGTTGCTGTGCCAACGTGGAGCAGTGACGCCACTTGGTTTGCATTTGAACTATGTCCAACGAGCAACTTGGATGAAGACACATGAATGCAGGCATTTATAATTTCACGAATTCTCAGTTTGCATTTTTGTTTAAAATATTCCTGCTCTCGGGAGAAACTTGCGCCGGTACGACAAAATGAAGAGAGTGCTCCTCACCTCGTCTCAGGTCTCCATCATCTTGACGGGCATCGTCAGTGAGTCTCCAGGCGTATAGCGGCACCACCGGTTAAACGGTTTTGCTCCGTAGACACAACCAAACGGCTACTAATTCCTGCGTGTTAGTTTTCTTGTGCACCTTGGGTCTTTTCCTTAGCGGCTATGTGATTCAGCAACGAACAGTCAACGATTTGCGCGACGCAATCCGGCCACGGATCAGGCCTGTGACGAAACCGCATTTGCCAGAGCGCTTCAAGTCGCGCATCACAGAGCTCGCCGACGGCTCCATTGTCTTTTATGAGAGCGAGGCGGACGAGGAAGCCCACTCGCAGCGACAGCACATTGAGATTCGCGAATCCAAGACCCCGCAGCCGCCGTCGGAGAGCAAGGAGGCGCGAGCCGACCGGGAAGAGGAAGCGAAGAGGGCGACGCGCAAGCAGCTGCAAATGTTGCAAGACATCCAGAGCAAGGTTGCTCAGCAGTCCTGGGCGGTGGAAAACCCGGACCCCTGGGCCAAGAGCAGGGTGCCTGTCGACGCGGTGGAGCGCCGCCAAATGATTAGGGATGAATTGAAGCGCCTCTCCATGAGCGACGGGCCGGTTCCGTGGTCTAAACGTATTTGGATATGAATATCGCCGGCTCCTTTGTCCTGACACCGGCGACGGCTATTCGGTACGAGCGACACGACGGAAGAAACGAATCTACATGCAATAGACCGTTTCAAAATACTGATGTAGGATATGGATTTGTCGGGATCGGAACAGCTTACGAATACAGAATGCAATGACTGGAATGCTTTACTCTTATAACTTGTGCAAATTCGTATATAATGGAATCTCTGTCGATAAGTAACCCACAAATTGGTGCCCATCTGCCGGGTCGGATGCTCATGAATTTGCAGAAAGAAGACGACCAATTGAGCATCCAAATTGAGGGCATCAAGACGGGACCGGGCGTGTATATGGCCAATGCTGTCTGTTCCATGGTCAGGGACGTCAAGGAAGAATGGAGGTGTTTCCGCGAATGTGTACGAGTAATTTGTAATTACAACAATATTAGGGCTCTTCCGAGAATGCCGGGTCGCGATCTAATAGCTAGGTTTTCAACACTCAGCTCTACATCCGATTGTCGCAGCGGCACGGCGCAAGTTGAGACCAAGACTTGCGCCAGGGTCGCAAAATTACTGAACCAAGAAAAGGAACAATTCCGCTGCAGACTGTTGCCCCTTGGAAAGCTAAAGGTGGCAAACCTGGTTTGCCTTTTTGACTCGCCCTGAAAGCAGGTGAGCTTACAGGGCAGAGCGCCAGTGCCACGGTTTCAGCGTGAATCACATTCCAGAGCGAAATTTCAAGGGTCTCTTGACGGTCGATCGGGCTGGAATGTAAGCGCGTAAAGTGTCGATGCAAGCGGCAGGCAAACAAATTGTCAGCATGCAGCGCCATTTCCGCGAAATACTGGCCGATGTCATCAAATGCATGTACGAGACAGCCTCCGATGCTGGTGCCCAAAGGGGGCGTGTGAATCTGGCATGCAGGCTGCGCGAGGTCAAAAGTCGGTGACACAGGGGGGGGTGTTAAGCTCAGATGAATCACCGGAAAAAAGCAAACAGTGTGCAGGACGAAGCAAATGCCCGAAAGATCGCGTGAGCCTCTGCCCGCATACCGTTTTGCTTTTTCTCAGCGCTGCACACCCATCACACATGACAGCAAAAGTCGTTTGCCCCCAAGTTCACGGTCCACCTGGGGACCCCCCCCTGACGTTTTGGTGGTGCAAGACACCGTGACGGCGATTTGGAATGCGGACGGGCGGGGACCATGGGGTTCACGCTGTTGTGCGAAAGTGGCAGGGTCGTGAAGCTTTTAAAGAGCGTGCATGAGGGGAGGAATGCTATCTCCGCATACGGGGTCCGGCATACGTATCGGTAGGTGAGAGGAAACAGAAGAGAAAGAAGGAGCACAGAGCAGAACAAACGCAATGGCGGTCAGCCAAAATGTCCATTACAAAATTATTCATTAGCTAATCAATAGGTAGTTAGTTACTTTGTTCAAAGGAAGAGCGGCGCCACGCCGAAGAGCGAAAATTGGCGCGCTAACCTCGGGTTGGGGGCAGACCCGGCAGAATGGAAGCACAAGAGTCAATCTATTTTCCAACCCGGTGCGCCGGATACGAGGGCGTGAGAATGAAGAATAAAATTATAACTAATTCGTACTGATGGCTTTGTCATACAGCCGGGTTCGTATTCGACGGCTGCCGCGTAGACAATGAGCCGTTTGCTTTGTTTACGGTTTGGCATGAATCGTTTAGACCCAAGTTGATGGAAGCATCTCCCACAAGTCCGAGAAGGCTCGTCACATTCATCTCGGAGAAATGCGAGCCAAACAAGAACCCAAGATTCATAAACTCAAATCGAGAGTCAAAAGGCAATAGTTTCAGACTTAAAGTAAAATGAGCAAGATCAAGGGAGAGCGTCATTGGTGACAAATCCGCGGATGACGTGAGGACAGCCAAAGGGTTGTGGGAGAGCCGGAGCGAAGAGCCCTACTATTACAGGCTAACCAACATCAATTGAGAATGTTCAGGGTCTTTTTTGTTTTTTTTTTCAATTTCTTTTGCGCGGGAAGAAGAAAAAACCGTCGACTGACACCGGGTGCTCGGGCATGGAAATATCCTAAAGTGGACATGGGCGGACAAGGCGAAATTGCACGACTCCACATCGAAGAAGGGAAAAAAGAAAAAAAGGGCTGAGCAACCGCACGATTGAATCTCGAAAGAAAAGAACTTGTTGGGACTAATAAAACCCACAGCTGGACATGGGTTGGTTCAGCTCCATGGAATCTGGGCTAGGCAGGGCGCGCGCGCGATTCACGGTGACTAACAAGCGAGATTACATACAACCACGGGAACAAGAAAAAAGACATCGTTCGAGAGGGAAAAAAAACGTTCGAGAGGGAAAAAAAAAAGTGTGGCATTGTATTTGCTAGAGGCGGGCCTTTGGGCGTCGCTGGTATCAAAAGTGGTGGCAAGGAGCGAATTCTCTTGCCAACCAAAAATAAGCTATGGAGTAGAAGTGTATAACAAAGAATCGTGGTCGTGATGACTGGGACGAATAATATCCGTAATAATGAAGCATCCGTAAAAATCCGAATCCCAATAAATAACAAGAAGTGGTATTATAAATGCGCCGGTGTAGTATGTATCCAAGATGCTGTAGTAAACTCCAAAACATGAATTAAAAAGAAAAAAAAGACGTGACGTCAAGGAGAGTAGTGTTGTCGAGGTTGTGTAGAGATTGTGTTGTGTGTTGATGCAAAGTCAGGAACACATCAGTTCGTGTCGGTAGGAGCACCGTTTTCCTTGTCGAGGACGACAGCCTTGCGCTTCCAACCGCCCAGCTTGACCAGGTGCTCGACGCTGTCCATGGCCCTCATGCGCGGACGGGCCGGCACGGTGCTGTGCTTGTAGCTAAAGTTGGGCAGCATCATGCGGGCCTGCTCAATGGGATCCTCGAGGCGCTCGACGGGCGTGGCCCTGTTGCTTGTGGCGGGCGTGAGTTGGGCAAGAGTCTGGATGGTAGACTCGGACCAGTGCGAGCGTGGCAGCCGCGGGCGCTTGGCCAGCTGCATGAAGAAGTAGTCCTCGTCGTCTGACTCGTCGGCGTCGTGGTCGAGCGGACTCGTCATGGGCGGCATGCTGTTGGTGTGTACCTGCTCAAAGACGGTCTCGTCGTCGTCGTCGAGTTCCGTGTCGCTGTCGTCGTACTCGAAGACGCTGACACCATACTCGCCACCGCTGCCGCCACCGCTGCTGCTGTCTGTGTCGCGGCCGTGGAAGAATGTGCGGGGTGACTCGTCCGGACGGCGCCGCGGCGAGGTAATGTAGGCGCGCTCGTGCAGGCGCGGCGGCGGTTGGGCAATGGGGTGCAGGCGGAGGGGATCGATGCTGGCGTCGCTGCCGGAGCGGTGGTGGCTGGGCCCGCGGGCAGTCGAGGTGGACGAGGCCGAGTCAATGGAGCAGCCCGAGGAGAGGGAGCAGCCTGAGAAGGAAATCTTGCGAATATGCAGGTCCCGGGGCTTGGGCGTCTTGCGCCGTGAGCTGAAGCCGTTGAGAACGTGCATCGTGTAGATGTTGTGGATGTAGATGAGGATGGGCTGTAAGTGCTTGTTGAAGCAATGAGAAGAAGCTCGTGTATATATAATGAAATATATACAGAGCTGCTTCGCGGAAAGCCGGATCGGTTTGGCGGATCAGTCGGCGGGAAAAGGCTCGCTCGTATCCGGCGGTGGTGATGACGTTGGAGTGCTATAAGCGGAACGACTTTGGTGGTAGTTGTGATGGAAGCAGCAACATGAAAAAGTTCAAGTCGGGCGAATGAGTAGTAGTGGCAACGTGGTAATGCCTCTTGTTGTTGATGCCGAGCAGTATATAAAAGCTCGTAGGTCTGTATGAAGATTGATGTTCGGAGCAGGAACAGAAGGCTTCCACGGATGAGGCGGGCAGACAGGATTACATATATTCGATGGGGCTGAGTGATGGTCTTGGGTCTTGGCTACTGAATGAGGAGTGGAGATGGATGATGACGATGGCTCGTGGCGGGAGGGAGGGGCTAGGCCAAGGCCCCTGGCAAAGGCAAACGGAGGAATACCGCAGTGCAGCAGCCTGGGCGGTCAGCAGGGCAGCAAGTCAACACAGTTGACAGTACAAAGCATATTCACATATTCACTGGTTGGAATCCGCAACAGCCGGACGGGGTGTGTGGGGAGTGTGCGTGGTGTGGTGTTGCGTGGTGCGTGGCAGCTGGCGGAAAAAACGCCGCACGCCGCAACTGGCGGACCGCCAGCAGCAAACGAGTCCTATCTGCCCACCTGTCCGCCGCCGTTTGCGTTGAAAAAAAAAAAAAAACCGACAGAGTGGGGTGCGCAGTTGAAGGGCGATGGCACTCGGTGGCGTGTGGGTGGGGTCTAACTAGCGACAAACCAGTCACCACTTGAACCAAGAAGCTCGTTTCTCTTGGCTCTCGTACTCTTGTTTCGAGTTCGCCGTTGTAACTAAATTAATAACTGGCTGGTTCATAAAATTCATCTTTTCGTCATTCTCGTCAAAACTCGAGCAGAAACTTGAATATTACGGCTGCTGCTTACGGCTGCTCGTCACCCTTATCCCTCGCAGCTTTGCTATCCATTGAGACAACCCATGGTCACAGCTGCTTATTCATTTCCGGCGATTCTCGCGCAGCCTCGTGAGATTTGCTTTTTCCCTTCTTTTTTTGCTTCACGCCTCGGCCACGTTCCACACTTTTTTTCTCTGGGTGTGTGTTGTCTGACTCTTGTGGCTTCGTTTTCCGTTCCTGACTTGTACCTGAGTACCTGACGATGGAGCCCACCGCCCAAATATTCCGAGACATTTCTCGGGCAGCGCGTAAATGGGACATTTTTAAAGTGCTCGTTTTTTAAATCATTTCGTCCTTTTACGCGTCCCGACTTTGCGCGGCCTGCGCAAATTTGTCTAGCGGTCTGTTTGCCAGGCTAGTTTTACATGTTGGACGTGATGTGAGCGCGAAACAATGATTCAGTTCACGTAGATTTCTTCCAGCATGACAAAACATTGCTTCCAATTCACACCCACACACTCTCCGTTTCTCTCGTTCAGATCCGCGGACAGCCCGAAATGAGGCGGGAGTCGATAAACAGCTGATTCGACGGTGAACCATTGACACCCATCTCCGGTTCTGATCCGCCGGAAAGCAATAGTTAGCAGTCGTTAGGCCGTGCTGTGCTGCTATTGTCCGATGCACGCGCCAATGTCAAGATGGCAGCAAATTGAAGGGAGCAAGTATAACAATCATGTATGACGCTGGATCTGCAGCCCAGCCAACGACCTGACTTACTGATACGCTGCGGCTCTGCGCATCTTTCGATCCCAAAGTAGCGAGGAAACCCTTGAGAGCCAATCAACGGTCGTATGTCCATATGTACATACATATACCAACTAACTAAAAGTTCCGTGCATCTTGAAACTGCCAATCCTGCCAATCCTTTCAGCTGCGCCTTACGCTTCACCAAAGCATTCCCCGTGTTTCTGTCAGAAAACCCCCAAACCGGTTTCCGTATCCGTACATCCATCCTCGAGCCTAGCAACCTAGTTAGTTACATTGGTACTACTCTGTCTGTTCACACCATCACGATATGTTAGCGCACTCCGCTAGTCCGAGGTACACGAAGCAGACCGTTTCACACAGCCAGTCACCGCTTCCGGCTGACGAAAGTGATGAGGCGAGCTGCTCACTAAGAAAAAGCACTAGCCACAAGAGGGCGGAGAGAGCGCTCACTGATCGCCGCCTCGCATCCGTCTTCTGCTGAGCACGAATGGTTGTGAAACTCGCGGCCAAGCCCCGGCAACCCGGCTATCAAAAGGTTGTGTGTGTTGGGCTCTTGCACGGAGCCTACATTTGTCTTGCCTAACTGATATTTCCCACTAGAACGATTTATCATCGTCATGTCCCCACGCAAGCCGTGTCTCTCTTCTACCTCCCCCTCTTTTTTGCACCCAAAAAAAGCAGCAGAATGCGACCAGTCAGCCGATGGCAACCCGCTTATTGGACAAGTTTCAATATTAGCTCCAGCTATACCAGGGCTAATACCAGGATTTCGGCGATGAAGGTCGACGACGATGAGGAAACATGCATGACGCCAGCTGCGTTCAAACAGCGGGCGAGTCGCACGATCCGTAACTTTTTATTATCCACGTTGATGATACATACACTGTTGGCCTGCTCTTGTGTGATTTGGTAACTAGAGATGCGTACGCGGCTTACGAATCATATAATTGACTATCCGAGTAATCATCATTTGCAACCTTGATGTAATTCCCATTACAAGAAATGGCCGTTATTGACTTATGACCATGTCGCTGCGCTGTTGCTTCGTCTCTTCAACCGCCCATGGTCAACTAGACTTGCGCTCAGTGCACCTCAATTAATTAGCCAACTTCCGAAGCGAGGGAGGGACATTGTCACGAACAAGTGTATCCATCACCACTGTAATCACGACGGCGTGGCCCTCTTCTCTCACCCCCACACCTCTTGGCTCTCTTGGCTCTGTCAGGCTTCAACGAACTGGTGGGCTTCGACTTCTCGCACAGAAAGAAGACGAGGGGACCCAGTGAGGCGTTCTCATCGCTACCGCATTATTACTCCGCAACGGGCTAGAAGAGGAGCCCAACCTTTATTATCAAGAAAAGACGCCATGGTTACATCACCGCCAGTGTGCAAGGCGATCTGTCGTTTTTGCTTGTGTTCGTTCCCCCCCCAAGATCAAAAACAAGCCCCCCCACCTGTGCCTCGTCTAAAAAAGACATCGAGTCATCAGTATTGAAAAAAGTGCGGAAATTACTCCAGCTGCCAGGCACGCGCACCAAGGCTTGCCTGCTTTGAGCCTGGTGCTGGCAAGCTGGTTCCTGGCCCTGACATGATGGCTGTCCAGCTGACCTGAAATAGCTTCCCCGCAGACAGGGGACGGCGGCGGCGGCGGGCGAGCCTTTGATGCTACCGAGAAACGAAGCCCTGGTCATAGTAATTGGCTTCGTGATGCCCTTGCGACCGGTGGGCTGAGAGTTCATCACAAACCACTTGGCCTGGTGACTTGTCTTCAAATAGATTGTCGGCTGTAATTTCGCGTCGTTTGCGAGAAAAAACTGCGTCACTTGTCTGATATTAAGTTGCATCGTTCGATCAGTCCCGTCGCCTACCTGCCTGCATGAACAAACCCGAAGAAACCAGATCCGGTGACTGCACGCCTCCCTTCCCCCCGCACGCAGCCGACACAGTAACTAACTAATCATGACTATCATGCTTATTGGCTCTTCGTCCGGCATCTGTCGCATCCACCGCTGTGCAGGTGAGGGAGGCCCTTTTCCCGTCTTCATGGCCACGCCATTGCCGTGGCGGTGAGTTTGGGCTTTTGCCTGATTTCTTTACAGCCTGACTCCCCCAGAGAATCGCGCCATTCGAAATGGCGGGCTTCTTCTTTTTTTTTCCCCTCGCCTTTTCTGCTCTTCAACGGACATTCCCACTAGTCACCGCCAAATCTCTCTTGCGTTGCTTTTTACTCTCAGTCGCCGCTATTGTTCCTAGTGTCTTCTAGAGCGCAAAGCTCGGTTATATTTGCTTCTTCCCCCTCCATCTTACCGCCTTGCGCATTGGCAACTTGTTAACCCAATCCATATAGTTATTGTCATGAGATCTGTGTTCCATCCTGTGCCATGACATCCACCCAACTGCAAGTACCCTTGGCACTAGCTCTGAAGCCTTTCAGCTTCCAATTATTATGGTCCCAACGGAGCTGCCTAGATGCATTTCTCCATCTTGTGCACTTGCTGAACCGACTCTCTTGCCTTCCCCGCATCAGTCGACGTGGTGTGGCGGTCAGACAGCAGCAAACAATTAATATGCATGCACGTAAACGTTTCGCCATCTCCTGTACATGCGGCTTACCAGTCTCCCTGCATTCACCCAATGTCAGCAGGACGGGAAACAATATGTTGTGAATTATTATAAACAATCATGCTATTCACTCCTCTATTCGTCTTATCTCGTTGATCATCTCAAGCCACCCGTTGCAGCTCTCAGCTTACTTACACCTGTGTGTGTGCCGCCACCAGAACCAAACAGCCTTGCGAGCGCAATTTTCAGTTTGTCCTTGCATTGTTCCATACAAACATCGATCCAACTCAACTCAATCGGGTTTCCAGGGCGCCCTCAATTTACGGTGGACTAGTTGGTGCTAGTTCCCCTCATTACTCTGCAACCAAAGGCGCATCTTCGTCACCAAGCGTAATCTGCATCCCTCTCAAGTTGCAGAGTGCGTAGTGATTTGTCAAGTTATTGAGCCATTTCCGGCTCTTCTAATAACTAGTTAGACTCCGTATTATTCACAACTAGTCAATGTTCATCATAGCCATGCGCCACCGCGCTGTTCAGCTCGGCCGCTGTTAGATCTCGCAACAGTTCCCCTCTTCAACCCCTCCTTCGCTCTCACTCGCATCCGCGGCGGGCAGCCTTGACCCAGACTCTGCGCCATGCAAGTTTGATGCGACACACACCGGCGCATCCAGTAGTTACCAGCAGCTATGGATGTGGCCATGACACCCTCCGCCCTTTCGTTCATCGCCGTTGTTGGGCCTCTGCGTGTACGCACGGCCTCTGGCGGTGTATCGCCGTGAGCGAGAAAAGGCCTTGGTCCACACCTCCAATCCCGAGAATGTCCATTTTTCTCGGCCACTGCTACACTTTTGGCCGTTACGGTGGGGGTTGCTGCGTGTGTAGTGCGTCCATCACCACGCTACAGCCCTCCACGTTGCGAGTCGTGCATTGAGAAAGGCAGAGGCGGCCAAAGAAAAGGAAACATCTACACCACATTTGCCTGCTCCTAGTTTCGCCTGAATTGATGTCTCAGCCAGGTGGCTTGCAATACTGGTAGCAGCCCAGTTCAACAATAGCAACTCACACCGACAGACATCAAAGGCCAGCTTAAGCACAGATAATTGTTGAGGCACTAAATCGTTTCTTCACAGAAATTGGGTCAATTCTGGCGCTACCATATGTCATGTCACGACGTTCCATCGCATACTGATATGGAATTGCCGTTGTCGTAGCCGTCACTTGGCTATTCCGGCATTGGCGTATCGGGATAGCCGCTGGTCTTCAAGTACAACTCCTCATCTGTGAGTATCTTGACCAATAAAACAGTCTACTGAGTAAAGCTGAGCAAGGTGGAGGAGCTATAAACTCTAAAGTGGCCTCCAAGGCTTTGTTACATCGCCAAGCTCCCGCTTGACGGTGACCAACCACTTTACTTGCCCGAAAGGTATGCTCAAAGGAAGTAACTTCTAATACAAGCCAGTGTGGGTTGGTGCTTCATTTTGTAGTATCTTACCAATTCTTCATCATCTGGCTTGTCATAATCCCTACGGTCCCTGATGTGGGACCGGCCTGTTTGAAGGGTTCACAAAGCGCAGGATGAAAGTGCCTCATCCTGTTAAAAGTGCAACCTCAGCTTTGTATACAAGCACGGCATCGATGTATCCCCATTGCATTGGTTTTTATTTATAGCAGTCACAAATCTTGGACAAACCCAAAGTCAAAATGCAACGAGGCATACGCACGATGCCCAGCCCTGTGCCCCCGCCACGGAACTATGCAAGTCGGGAATCCCGACGGCGCAAATAGTCGGTTTTGGCAAAGTCATTGCATCATATCTCAACCAAAGATGGAATTCAATTCACTTCTTCCACTCAGAAGACGCAAACGCTCGCATTACTGTGCCGCACGGCCGTGGCGCTAGCCATCGCAGCCGGATTGCCGCTCAGCCACGTCTCCCAGTCGTCAGCGTTTCAGGTTTTATATATTCCGCGTACTCGGTAACACTTTGGGATGCTTCTGGCATAAAGACTTAGCATCTTCTCTTGTTCGACCTCGCGTGTCTTTCCTGTGTTTCGTTGGACTGCATGCACCTACCTACTCATCGTGGCTAAGCAAACCACCAGACTCAGCCATCACATTCTCAAGACATTAACTTTGTGACGCATACGTGGCCCGCTGTAGTTGAAACTTTCGTTAAGCTGTATACATGTACAATATCGTAGTACATGCATGATTGTTGGTAGCAATCGCAACCTTGGCTCCTTCCACTTACACACCTTGGAGATCAACCGGCCAGAAGAACACGATGGGAAGCGGTGTCTCGGCAAAATTATGCGAGGCACTAAATCCCTCTCTTCGATAAATCCCTAGTTGAGTTTGAGCCTTTGATCTATACAGAGTGAGCGGCTCTATCTTTGCCTGCCGTGAGTGGTATAGGGCGGATCAGCACAAAAACGACACACATAAGAGAGCAATTTATATCCGCAACTGTTAGTCGTATTTTACTTGTGCTTTCAATTCCCAGTTCTAATATTGGTGAGTTAGTTATGAGAAACCATAGAGGCCACACGTCATTCGTGAGTGTCATGGGGATACCTCTCCAACACCCTCACTCCTATTGTATCAATGTTGCTTCCGATCCTCATTCTTTTGAAGACGAACAGTATCACTTGCCCAACTGTCATTATCCGAGATAAATACTATTCAGAGCCTAGGAATGGAGAAAATTCGCGTGTCTCTGTAGTCATTTTATTTGTTACGCAAGTGAGGTGGTACGACGCGGGTACCACTCAGTGATGTCAAGTACTGTCGTGCCGCTTTCATTCTCGTCTTGGCATCTAAAGGTAGTGATGATGAGACTTAATGTTTAGTTCTATAACATTCTTTAAGCGGCTAGCATACTACAACTACTTTAGCCACCCTCATCACGCTGTGCAAAAAAGTGAGAATAGTATAAAACACAGCGACCAATTACCTGTAGGTCCCCATCCCGTTCTCTGACCTTTTCGATAGTTGTCATAAATCGTACCTAATTAGTTTTATATGTGTGTTTTCGTAGCCACAGTATTGCGTATAGCCCACGGAATACAAAAACGTCGAGGTCCCACGGTCATGTAGGTCGTTCAGAAATTACGGCCAGAGCAGTGAGGCTTTGTTCACGCTCTGTAGGCCAAAGCTCCCGTTGTAGAGCATTATATCAGTCGTGAACGGCTTTCCAAGGTCAGGTGCACAGGGTCAGCTGCTGAGATGCACTCCCGACCAAATGGAGCGCTGCTTACAGCTGGACAGGTCAGGCGACCTCAATATTATGACAATGCATATATGGTGTCTCAGAAAAATCCTTGGCACCGGCACAGAAAGTATACTGTAGGCCCCATTGACTCGAGTGAATGATCAATTTGTCCATTCCGCCTACGATAGTCCGCATATACGACCAATGTCCGCAGCGAATCACTCCAGACGCCTCACTACGCGGAACAGAAGTTGCTAAAGGCATATTGAGGGGTTTTCTCAGTTTAAGCATACTTTTCTGCTTTCTGTAGCAGTGTGAGTCTGTGTGTATTTGATCGTCGAGCAGTGACCAGGTACAGAGGCTGCATCGTGCTGATGTTAACGCCTGTCGTCTCGCACGTTCTGTGTAAAGCTAGGCGTCCTGGAGAGTAACACTCTATCAGTGCTTCTATCCTACGGAGAAAATTTACTCTGCTCCCTGTAGATTTAGTACGCTTTCTAATTCTGCGCCATGCAGTGTCCTGGCTGCTTCCTCGAAGTTGTAGCTATTGTGGGCTTCAACTGCAGTCTTTGGAGTCGCTGGGCTGTATTAGTTGAGCAAATAGCGCGACACATGGTAAACTCACCACTGGGATGGTAGAATATTGATGCTCACCCTCCCGAAGGAAGAAGTTTCTCCAGTCGTGCATCCATAGTGTAGAGATTCCGGCGAGGTGCAGTCAGTCGCTGTATTCGTCATCTTGCGAATCTGTAGGTCGTATTGCTTCTTGCCCTCCAATAGATCCCACAGCTTGGATATTAACTTAGCATATAATTATGAAAAGCGCGCGATGCAGTACAAGAGACGTGTTGAGGAGTACTCACGGAGGCAAACTGAACGTACCGTGACACCGATGCTCGAGATGTCGCCGCTGTGCGTATAGCCTGCATGCGACGATGCATCCATCATTATGCACCCCGCCTGATACAGAGAGTCAAAAGAGTTACGATTTCAATCGGCCGGAGAGCCTGTCCATGGTTACACCGTGACAGGTAGATGGCGGCGGTGGACCTTGCTCATCTAAGGCGTGTTTTCCAAGAATGCTGCGATGCTTTAATTTGAGCATGACATTGTCCGGTTTTAGATCTAACCGCGAGTTGAAAGCTCAAATAGCTGGGCAGGAAACGCGCATGACTTGTGTGGTTGATGCGGCACTCTGAGTGTAGGTAGTCGAGGCCTGCAAGGATCAATTTTAGCATATCCGCGGGGATCATGTCGCCGACCAATTTGAAGAGCCGCAACGGCTCTCGTAAAGGCTCAAAAACTAGAGAAACATGATGCCCCGACATACCGCACCTTGCACAGTGAAGGTGTCTTGAAGTCGACGCACGAGATTCCACCCCACAGCAGTGTCCTGCTTGGATGTCCTCTTGATCATGGCAAGCATTATCGGCTATATTACGACGCGTTCATCCTGGTGGTGACTTACGTTTCGCGTGACCAGCGCAGTCTACGCCCATTGGAAGGCATGTTACGAGAGCTGACAAGTTCTCCAACTGGTGCAGGTCCCGGGCTAATCATGGGCTCAATCCGTAACCAAGCTCGCTGGGAAGCTGATGACGATCATCAAGTTAGTGTCCTTTCCCGCTTCAACAGGGGGAGGAGGGTCAAGCCGGGCGGCAGTAACTAGCGGCGTCTAGTATGGCCTAATAGGGCCTAATACATAGCCGTGCTGGATGGAACTTTGATTTCGGATACGCAAATGAAATTGAGGGAGGGGATAGGGGTAGGGTCGCGCCTCGGCCACTTTATGACAAGCGACGGATGTTACACACTGTGGTGCCTCGGATGAAATCCGGTTTTGTCAATGTGCCGCGCTGTCACACAAGCCGGGCAATTCTTTTGGGCTCATGTATTATGAAGTACACAGCTTGTAAATCGTCCGCCAGAGATGAAGACGTTCTCGCTTCCTGGGGCGATGCGAATGTCATTGTCAACTACACCCTAGTAAGGCAGCCGACCAACTACCTAACTAGGTACATACCGTAGTTACCTATGTATACGCACTAATAGCACACTAATGTCTTCGTGGGTACTAGTTACTAGCAGCAGCCAGGGTAAGGGCTCTTCCGCGTATAACTTCCATAAGTGGTGGAGCCGAGACTATAGGGTATTTAACCGCAGAAAATGTGTAGCGACCAGCAACTCGTCGTAACCTACAGTGTAGCGTGATATTATTTATTACCAGCTTCGTGTATGATTCAATGCTCAGCTGCTTTTGTTTTGGGGGTTCTCTGGCTCTAATAAAAAGAACTCTTCCTGGCGCTGCCTTGTCGGTGAGGGATATGGGCAAGTTCTCGACATATGTTGCCGCTCACTCATCAAGCATCGATAATTGCACACTTTTAACTCTCGGCATCTACCAGGAAACATCGCTCAACGGCATGGACCAGCTCTTCGGCGAGTGGATGCGTAGTCATTATTGACCAAAAGGTTGTCCATGTCGGTGCCGTAGCGCACCACGGAGAAGCCAATAGAGGCTCTTTCCGGCCTCTTTCATCATCTCAGCAATGATACCTGATCGCGTCGTCTGTAATCTAGTCCCGGACATGTATGGACCTGAACCGAGGCACACGCGGTCCGTTCCTTCGTCACGACTCAAGAACCCAGAGGGCTTTGGCAAATCACCATGGGGGGTAGGACAACAGGTGAAGAATAGTCCGAGCCCGACGTTGCATTGTCTCTTTTTGTCTCAAAACTGTCACTTTTGCCAAGCTGCGCTCGGATCTTAGCAATGACAAGAAAAATGCTCGACTTTGTCTGTCAAGGAGAATTCGGCAGAGCTTCCGTACAGATGAATGACGCAGCTTGCTGGATCAATTCAATTCTTCATCAATTTATTAATTTACAAGGGTAATTTCCGAGCACTATACGGATGTCGGAAAGAGCGGCCGAGTAAATTGATCTGATGACTTAGCCTTTGGGGCTGTCCAGCCTGCCCGTCTGTTCCTGTCCGTGCACAGCACCCAGTCTCATCGGTTGGACCTTTTCGTCCTTTACCAGACCACAGGGACGCGGGGCGTTTTTTATCGTCTATCACTGGCTGGACAAGAAATCCCCCCCTGCTACTTGGCATTTACGATGCAGCTGCAGGGGGGATGCGGCATGCACCCACGAAGCCAAAAAATGACAACTACTGGAACTGAACTACACGGATGTTTCGCTGAGACTTGAATAGGTTGTTGATAGTTAACCACAGAGTCCCGGATAAAGAGTCGCAAACTCAACTCAATTCACTTCAAGCCACCAGCTCCATAGATTCAGCTATTGTCCATTCGGGGATAACGAGGCTTGCAAACTGGCGTGATTCTTCATCATTCGCGGCCCGTGCGGGAACAAGAGCTGCGGTTCCAGAACTCATCACATCTTGTTGCTTTTCAGTCAAAAGTTAGTTGGAGGGCTTTGAGCCTAACGAACTGGTACGGTGTACAAGCAACTGACTAGGTAGTAGTCACATAACTAGTTAACCAGTGGCCGGGACCTGGGGCAGAAGAAAATCGAGTTTGCCCGCTCGGACCTTGTCCCTCTCTGTCAACTCTGTCAACCAGTTGCTGACGAGTTCTCGATCCACCAAATTGCTTGTTTCAGAGCGCCACCATTCCCGATTCGACAGGATTTGCAAGCCTTGCAACCTTGCTCCCTTGCAACCTAGTAACAATACTTACAGACTGGTAGTATTGACTACAATGTACATTGATACATGTACCACAATGGGCTGGGACTCTTAGCACCAGTATGGCGTGTCTGTGCGGGGGGTCCTGTCAAAGGAGCCTCCTGCCAGCCTTGACAGATCCCCCGCACAAGTGTTGATTAAAAGGGGGCGCTCGATGTTCATAAATGGTAATAAATCCCAGCTGCCGTCAATCTCATTTTCATCCTATGTTTCGCAATCCTTCTCGCTTCCGGTCATAACAGAAAGCCACTGGTTGAGACACAAGATCCATCAACAGCACTTGTACGGATTCACACGCGGGGGTCTCTGACACCCCAACTTGAGAGCAAGATGAAGATTCTCTTCTTTTGCACTGCCTTCAACTCACTGTCACAGCGTGTCTACCTCGCCCTCTCCGAACAGCACTATGTCACCATAGAGTACGCCCTGTCCGAGGAGCTCATGGTCGAAGCCGCCGAGCTCGTCAAGCCCGATCTCATCATCTGCCCCTTCTTGACGACCCTGGTGCCGGCCCAAGTATACTCCAAATACCTCACCCTCATCGTCCATCCCGGACCCCCCGGCGATGCCGGCCCCAGCGCCCTGGACTGGCTTCTCATGGGCGACGACGGCACCGAGCCGGACAGCAAGAAGCTCCTGCAGCGCACATCCCTGAGCGAACACGGGCGCCCGTACTGGGGCGTTACGGTCCTGCAGGCCACGGCCGACTTCGACATGGGCCCGGTCTGGGCCTTTGAGCAGTTCGCCGTCGACATTGACCAGCCCAACATCACCAAGTCCAGCCTCTACCGCGGGCCCGTCACCCGCGCCGGCGTCGCCGCCGTGCTCAAGGCCGTCGACCGCATCACCATTGCCGCCGACGCCAGCAACGCCGCCGCCGCACACCGCTCCGCCAAGCCGTCGCCGCGCCCCGGCAGCAGCGCCGGCAGCAAGGGCATCAACGAGCGCTCCAACAAGGGCGCCGTGACCCCGCACCTCGCCGCCAACCCCATCTTCGCCCAGCTCTCCGTCACCACCGGGCAGCCGTTCCAGGGCGCCGACGACGGCCCGACGCGGCACCGCCCGCTGCTACGCGCCGCGGACCGCGACTTTGACCCGCACACGCACACGGCCCTCGAGATCTCGCGCCGCATCCGCTGCGCCGACTCGCAGCCGGGCTGTCTCAGCAGCCTGTTCGGGCCCAAGCTGTACCTGTACGGCGGCGCCATCGAGGCCGGCAAGCAGACCGCCGGGGTCGCGCCGGGCGCCATCCTGGCGAGCCGCGACGACGCCGTCTGCGTCGCCACCTGCGACGGCAAGGGCGTCTGGATCACGCACGTCCGCCGCGTCAAGGCCAAGACGGACCCCGCGCTCTGGCCCAAGGTGCCTGCCGTGCAGGGCCTCGCCGAGCTCTCAGAGCACAGCATGGGGTACCGCAACCTGCAGCGCGTCGTGTCCATGAGTGCCGGCCGGACGCTGTCCGATGAGGATGAGTGGTCGAGGGCGACGTGCAGCACGCTGCAAGACATCTGGATCGACTTTGAGCCGGCGGCGGACAAGGAAGGCACCGTCGCCTACGTCTTCTTTGACTTCTACAACGGCGCCATGAGCTCCAAGCAATGCCGCCGGCTGCTCAGGGCGCTGCAGTACGTGCTCGACGTGGCCGAGGACAGGTCGGTCCGCGCCGTCGTCCTCATGGGCGGCTCCTACTTCAGCAACGGCATCCACCTCAACGTCATCGAGTCCGCCGCGGACCCGGCGCTCGAGTCGTGGTTCAACATCAACGCCATTGACGACCTCGTCTACAGCATCCTGCACGACTTTCCCATCCGCGGCATCAAGACGATTGCCGCCGTCCGGGGCAACGCCGCCGCCGGCGGTGTGGCCCTGGCCACGGCGTGCGACATCGTCCTCGCCGGCGAGGATGTCGTCTTCAACCCGGCCTACCGCGCCATGGGCCTCTACGGCTCCGAGTTCCACAGCCTCACCTACAACGCCCGCTGCCGGGGCGAGAACGGCAAGCGGATCCTGCGCAGCATGATGCCCCTGAGCGCCAGCGCCGCCGGCCACCTGGGCCTCGTCGACCACGTGCTGCCGGGCTGGGGCGCCGGGCTAGACTCGGCCGTCAAGGCGCAGGTTCGGGCCCTCACGGCCGTCGACGACAACGGTGCCGCCGAGTGGAAGCGCGGCCTCGACCTGTCCGCTCCGGCGCTGGCCCGCATCCGCGCCGAGGAGCTCGCCGAGATGGCAAAGGACTTTTGGAGCCCCCGCGCGCAGCGCTACCACCCCCGCCGCTCCGACTTTGTGCGCAAGACCAAGGCCGCCGCCACCCCCCGCCGGTTCGCCCTGCACCGCAAGTCGGACGGGCTCGTCGACGAGGAGGACGATGACCGCTTCGACTCGGTCGAGTGGTTTGCGATGAAGAACAGCGCGCCGCAGCACGGCGCCGGCGCCGGCCTCGAGGATACAGCCATTCCGAAGCAGCCCGAAAAAGCGTATGCGCACAGGAGCAGGAACGCGCCGTCGTCCAATTCTGGCTCAGATGAGAAGAGCTGGGGCACCCAGGAGGGTGTGCCCAAAGCAAAAACTCGGGGGACGATATTCTGCTGCTATTATGATGCAGACTAAAAGCTTGGCGTTGAGATGTATACGTTTCTACTTGTTGTCAAGGTAATATTTATTAGTACAGGCGCTGGCGTCAGGTTATGCGGACATTAGTCATTTGTTGCATTCAGTAGTATATCCTCTGTTAGATACTCGTTACTTTCATAATAACCCCCTCGCCCTTTGGGCCGAATTCACGCACAACTCCTACTTCTTCTGCCATGTGCCGTCCGTGAGCGTGGCTACGACATTCTCTGTCGCAACCCCCATCTTCGACATCGTCGTGCCCTGGCGCGGTTCTTGGCTCGGGCCCGGGTCATTCCATACCGACACCGGTCTGGTGCCCTTGGCCGAGACCTCGAGGATGGTGCCGCCCGGGTGGTCCTCAGACTCGACGAGCAGCAGCATCGCCTCGGCCACCTTTTGCACGCTGATAAGCACGTCCTCGCCGTCGTCAATCACATTATCGCGGTCCGGATGCTCCAGCAGCATGGGCGTGCGCACGGCGCCCGGCGCGACGGCGCTCACGCGGATCCCGACCGCGGCCTCGAGCGGGGCCATGGAGCGGGTGAAGCCGACGACGCCATACTTGGCGGCGACGTAGAGCGGCGAGGGAAACACGGGCATGTAGCCGGCAATAGAAGCGATGGTGACCACGCGCTTGGGCGTCTCGGGCGTCTGCCGCGCCGCATTCTCCGGCGCCAGCCAGTGCTGCAGCGCCAGCTGCGTCGTGCGGATGGGGTGCGTCAGGTTGATGTCGAGCGACGTGTAGTGGTTGGCGTCGACAAAGTCCCAGCTCGTGTCGGAGCCGGGCGGGTGCCAGAAGCTTGACGTCAGCGGCTCAAAGACGCCCGCGCCGGGACACACAATGTCGAAGCCGCCAAACTCGGCGACGGCCGTGTCGAGCATGCCGCGCAGGTCCTCCCACGCCGTCACGTCCGTCTTGACGAAGACGGCGCGCGGGCCCTCGCCGGCGGCGCTATGCTGGCTCACCAGCTCTTCGGCCTTGGGCCGCAGCTTGATGTCGGCCAGGACGACATTGCAGCCCTTGCCGAGGAGGAGCTGCGCAAAGGCAAAGTTGATGCCTAGCCGAGAAATGTTAGCCGCGCCTCGATCGGAGCTGTTTCAGAGGATGTCTTTGCTTGCCTGAGCCTGCGCCGGTGATGACGGCAGTCTTGCCTTGGACGGAAAAAGGAGCCATACTATGCTAATCTCTGGTCTGACACTAGTTGCTTTCTTGGGGTCGGAGTGAGGAGGTAGATATATTTCCAGTTATATATCAATCCTTGGTGAGAGAGGGCGTAGCCATGTAAGAACGACTTCAGCTGAAAATATGTATGTCGACGCCACGAAGAAGTCATGCGCGTCTATATTGATATTTTAATGTATGACCTGTCATTGACCCCTCTTCATTCTCCAGGGCAGTCGTTAGCGGCAACGTCACAGCACACGGACGCGGACTTTTTTTTCGGACTCCGGAAACATATATCTCGATTGGTTTTCCGATGCAGCCTGGGTGTATATTTCTGCAATGGTACCACACATCGTATGCATGGACCCGGCGAGGTGGTGTCATGCAATGATTTTGAATTCCCCCAGGTATTATGCCGAGCCTTGGTTCAAGGCTGGCTGAACGGTTACAGTGCAGCTACTTTACATGGATGAGGGTATCATCGGTTCGGAGACACGCAAGAAAAGTTTGCCACACTCTTCTTTATATGCGACTCCCGGTTGGCACTGCCTGCAGTGCCGTGTTCTTCTCCGCTGCCCGTCGTCATGTTCGGCGGTCGTAGCGTCGCGATTGGTCTCTGGCGGGTTGTCGGTAGAGTGCTGCACAGGGAGCTGCAAAGTTCAATATTCGGATCGTGTCAGCTGTTTATCGCAGGATACCGTCGCTTTCGCCCGGAAGTCGTTCCACGCGCTTCTGTTCCCAGTTGTCCAAATCTTTGCCGCCGGCGAGTCTCTGAAGATAGAAATTAGCAAAGCATGTCCTTGCTGTGAGAATACAACAGCAACAACAAGGAAAGGGTACAAAAGTCGCCTTCCCTAGGAAGTCACCGGCGCGCCGTCCCACGTACATAGTATTCCTCGCGCATGTCCACCTTGCGCGCCGAGCGCCGCACGTTGAGCTCCTCGTCGCGCGTCATCTGGCGCACGCGGCGGTCGTGTCGCTCGTACCGAATAGCCGTCGCCGGTGTCAGGACAAAGGAGCCGGCGATGATGACGGCCAGGAACGGCAGGCCAAACATGAGGAATGGGCGCTTGCTCATGACTGCCCGGTACCGGGCCCCCATGGCGTTGGACTCGCCGGCGCTCCGGAACTTTTTGCTCTGAAAGGTCGGCATGCTTTCAGTCGGGTCAGAAAATAGGATTGTAGCAGATGTGGTTCGAAAGGGTTTGAATTCTCATGCGGGCGGACTGCGGACTGCCATTGGTTTGTTGGTGAGCAGCAGGAGAATCAGGCAATCCAAAAATATGCCAGTCATGTCACATGTGGAGCCAGCCACGAGAGTTCGTGTAGTATTATTACATATTCGGTACTGGCTTCTCTCCATCCTTTTGAAACGTGATAAAATTATTCAGAAACTAATGCTCCGATACTATGTATTTACAGTGGCTTGCAAAGTGACGTCGCTAAATAACAACATGCCCTTGGTCGCTTTCTCAGCTATGCAAAAACCCCCAACAAAATAAATATGATGCCAGCTTCCAAAACAGCTTGCCGCATCCTCGTCCTCAGATTCCCTAGTCGTAACAAAATGGTAAAATAAAAAATATTCGAGCTCATCATAAGTTCCGCGCCCGCGCAAAGGGCAAATTCCATGCCTGGTCCCAAAATGCAAGAGCAGCATATATATGAAACTTGGTACCGGTACAAAAACAGCAAAGAAATAAACCCGCTAAACTTGTACAGAGGAGATGGATCGTGGGAGACGGCCACGGCCGTTGCGTCTTGCAGCTTGCAACTTGCTCATTGTGCTGTTGCCAAAGCACATCTCGCAGTCCCCCCTCGCGAAAGCCTGTGCAGCTTCCCGTTATCTTTCCAGTCGCGATGGAGGCGACTGCCATCCATTGATCACGGCCATCATTCCCATACCAATCAAGACAACACCCAGCATCGATGCATATGGTAGCCCGCTATAGAGTCTGTCGTCCTGCAATGAACCACGTCGATGCGCGTTGAGGGGTGTAATGGTATTGGCTCTTGATAATGTAGGGCTCTCTTCCAGTTTCTCCGGCTCATCGGTCTTGGTGCTCTCGTCATTGACCACTTCAGTCGCAGCAGAGCTGGCAATGGGAGCCTCTCTTAAAGATGAAGCACCACTGCCATCTTCGGGCAGTTGCAGAGAGCTGGACAAGACCTTCTCTTCGGCAGCTTGCCTGCGAGCCTCTTCTTCTCGCAACTTGGTGACCATTTCGGCCAGTGATTTCCGGCCAGTGTCTCGCTCAGTCTCCGCAGCTTCGCAGCGTGCTTTCCACAGTTCCATCTGATCCCGAAGCTCGTTTACTTGCGCTTCCATGGTGCTGAGACGAGTCTGCAGGACGTTGTCCACGTCGCTTTTCCCATTGACAAGGTCCTTGCTTTCCTCAAGCAACGGTTCGGCAATATCTTCCGTACTGTCCGCCAAGACGGTGGGTTCTGCTAGTGTCTCTTCCGCATTCGCAGGCGTTACGGCGGAACCATTCATTTGGCTCTTGGCAGATTCTTCTAGGCGCATAGCCAGGTCCTCGGCGAAAGCTCTCGCTTCTCGCTCTTTGTCAAGCATCGCTTCAAGCTCACGCATCCTCGCCGACTGCGTGTCGATATCTCTCTTCGCATTGTTGAGTGCTTCTGTCAGCTGAATGATCTGGCTGAGATTATCCTGTCGGATAGGAGAAGACAGTGTGGGACCGGACTTTGGGCGTTCCCCAGCTGCGCGTTTGAGACTGGGCACGTCGGGTTTTTCTGGAAGCGGCTGCTGTGGTGGTGGTGCAGGAGGGTCGGAGAAGCGCGTCTTTGCGTCCGTCCTCAGCGCAATACCATTACCATTAACCATTGGTGAAGGTTTTGGGGCCTCTTGCGTTTCGACCTTCTCCAGATCTTTGATGTCGTCCTTCGATAAAAGAGTAGTAACGAACTGATTTGTCCGGCTTAAATCCTGACCCTGTAGCTTTGCATTTCGCATTTCTGTAGCTAGACGCTTCATAATTTGGTCGGTTGCAATTGGCGGGACGAAAAATGGCCGTTGTTGCGTCATGCCATTTGGCTGTGGGTTAGGCATAGGTCCGTTCTGCATTATGCGCCCATTGGGCCCCATATTGTTGTTATTGTTGTTAACCTGCCGACCTCGCGTCTGCATTTGACCGGGTGGCATCATCATGGAGCCATTAGCGGGATCTAGATCGCCAAAGCTCATATCCAGAACGTTATTCGAGGCGGCCAAAAACCCAGCGTGCTCAATTTTCGCCGCGACTTTGTGGTGAACAACTGTCTTTTGATCTTCGCTAACGATATCGATGCCAAGCTCGAGGTGGTCGGCAGTCTGCAACTCGTGGGGTTCCGATTCCCGGTTTTCTTGTGAGAGGCGTGTGCCGTTGACAAAAGTGCCGTTGGAGGATTTCACATCGCGAATAAATATTTTTCCATTTCGTTCAGCATATATCTCTGCGTGCTGTCTGGAGAGGACCTTGCTGTCGAAGAATCCGTTTGTGGGAGTCGGTACAGTTTTTTGGTTCGTCTGACGTCCGATCCGCAAGCTATCAGGAGCAAAGGGGACAACAATTGTCTTGCGTTCAAACGTGCCATTCATAGAAAGAAGGTACAGGACAGGCTGCCCCCCTTGGGACTGCTCTGGTCCGGGCCCTCGCATCATGCCCTGCGGCGTCATTTGAGCTTGACCGCCCCCGCCGACCGACTGCTGCATGACGCTATGGGGTAGCATGCCATTTGGTCGGCCGTTGGCTACTCGAGAAAACTCGGCGGACATGTCTATTTTCCCGGTGGGCCACGGGTTCTTTGGTTGTGGTCGTTTTCGCTGCGGACCATTGGCTGACCATTGGCTGGTGTCGGATGTGCTCGATAGGGAGGTGCCGTTTGAATGAGAGCCGTTCGTAGCAACAGAGGTGTTTGAGGAGTCGGATGATATCGACGATGATGAGCTGCTTCGCGCGAGGTTCTTGCGAGGAGGGAACATGCCTCGCACTTCGTCTGGGTTCATGGGGATATTTCCATTAATAGTACCCCATGATGAACGCGACACTTGAGGGAACGCTAGCGCGCTGGCGACTGCAGTCATGAGGAAGGATCGAGGTTGATGGTGTCCGCTTGAGGTCGTCGGAGGGGGTAGTACGTAGATCGTTCCCGCCAAATGTCGTGTTGCGAGACTCTATGACCTAAGCCGACGAGCGACCATTCAGTCGAAGCCACCGTGGGCTTTCCAGGCGTGTCTTTTGATAAGCGCTCCACAATATCGCGAATTCGATGATAGGAAAGGGGTATAACAACGCGATCGGGTTCTATGATGATCTCTGATGAACAAGACTCGGTCAGAACGATTGAAACATTCATGGGGAAAGAGCGTGGAGCTGAAGAAAATTGCTCGGAGCGCTCCGGAACCTATTGTACCACGAAATGCAGCGATGCACACACAATGCAGAGACTTACCGAGAATTGCAGCGAGTTGGGGTGACTATAAATTTTGACGACGTTGATTAACGGCACGGGGGCTTAAGCCGGAGCGAAAGACAGGTACTGTTGGACACCACCCCCGTCTTGCCAGAAGGCGCTTCTAGAGGTCGCACAGTGGACAACACAGCCAGCTGTTCATAGCATATACGTCACGCCACAGCTATCTGCTTGGAGTAAAGAAGGCCTTTTGTACAACAAACGTCAGTGCACCTATAAAGATTCAACATGGTAGGCATTTGGCTCTTTTTTGGGCTCAAGGCCTGCATACCTCCTCTACTCAGATTCCCTTCACGTGAGGTGTCTCTACAGTGTATTTACGGACAGCTCGCGTAAGAAACACTGTGAGGGGCTCTAGCGGCCCGCGTTAATATTTATCCACAAAGCTCCATGCTCCCCAATCAACGCTCGCGCTTCGGAGACGGGCTCCGCGAAACTTGGTGGTGCTGGATAATTATCGAAGCTGCCGAGGTGGCATTCTCCCCTGTGTTAACGACGAACACGACGACTTCAAAGAGCGCGATCAACTACAATGCCTCCTGTTGCCAACCTTCCTATGGGCGGCCAGCATGGCCCGTCCAACTTTGACAAATGTAAGGTTACAGCCGCAATACTCTCTTGGGATCGTGTACTGATGAACTCGACAGTCAAAATGGGAGCTATGATGGGAGGAAGTATGTTTCGTCCCCTTAGTCAGAACCCGGGACTATTGATGACTAACAGTATACCTCAGCTGTCGGTGTTATCATTGGCTTCATCTACGGTACGTGGCCGCGCCAAACTGCATTGCGCCGAGTTGAGAACTAACAATGTGCAGGCACAGTGAGCATATTCAGATACGGCGCAGGGTCACAGGGTGTCTTTAGAACTCTGGGACAGTTTATGGGTGCTTCTGGTGCTACTTTTGGGTGAGTCATGCGCCGCCTACCTAGGCAGTCCCGTCACTAACCGCCTTCAGGTTCTTCATGTCTATCGGTAGTGTTATTCGATCCGACGCCGATCCCAAGCTTCGCGAAGCTTATATGCGAGCGCACCGAAGACCAATCATTATGATGGCGAGTCCAGCCTGGAGGAAGAGCTCATAAATCGCCGCGTGTGGAATATGGAAGATGCTGGCCAAATACCCCCACCGTCCTCTTCAACTGTAACTATGTGAAAAACAGATGGAAACATCTCGTGTACAATAGCGAAATCAAGCCTTCGCACCACTCACTCGAGTTTTTATAGGCCAGTTCCTCCTGAAATGGATAGATGCCGTACTGTTGTTGGTTGGAGGTGACAGCGTGATCAGAGCAGCCGCTGCAGGCATGACGAGCCGCCAGCCAGGGTGTTCTGGCAATGGGAACAGTCTGTAGAGGCCGTTGAATAAACCTCCGGATTCCCTGTAGTCTATGCGCAGTGCGTAATTTCGTCAAAGCTCAATGCCTACTTTACAGGTTTTCAACAGTGCCGGGCCTGTGTCGCGGATTCTATTCGTTATTTCAAAGGGCCGTCTCACGAGGGCTATCTATTTTCTCCAGCTACTCGTTCCTTGCGTTCACTGCGCTGTCCCGCTCCGTTCCCGGTGCCGGCGGCATCTCCCTACGTGTTGCGAGGTCTTCTGTTTCTACAGTCATGTCTGTCTTTTGTTTCGAGACGTCGTCGCTGGGCTCAGCTTCTTCTGATTGGCGAGACTTGCTTGCCACCGCCTCATTACTGGCTGCCTCCTCGTCGTGGATTCTCAGCGCAGCCTCTACATCCTCAGTGAGTCTCTGTACCTCCTCGTCGATTTCCTCGTTGCGCTCCTTTCGATTCCTTAGCTGCTTTTCGGCCTCCTCCTCTCCAACAATTCCGCGCCACATCTTCTCCAACTCATCGCCCCAGCCAAGCTCAGCCGCGAGCTGACGAACGCCATCATCGCATGGCCCCAGCGACAAGACATCATCTGGTCTTGTCCCAATCTGTCCAACTTTTTCCATGTTGAATAGAACACGTGGGATGGACTCTCGTGTCATCTGTGGTAGGCCAGCGAAGGGATAAACCTGCAGACTGGTGCCGATGATCAGCACCAGGTCAGCCATGACTACCGTGTGGCTTTTCTCTGAGAAGGCTCGCGGCAGTGCTTCGCCGAAGAATACAATATCCGGCTTGACGAGACCGTTGCAACTCATATCTATGCATCGAGGTACATGTCCGCTGTGGACATGGGTCTTCATTTCGTCGTCGGGGAACTCTTTCTTGCACTCGACGCATCGTTGGTTGGCAAAGCTTCCGTGAGCCTCGATGATCTTTTCCGCGGGTACACCAGCAGCTCTCTCCAAACAGTCGATATTTTGCGTAAATAGCATGTGCAATAGATCCTTTTTAGCAAGGAGGGACAGGAACACGTGTGAGACTGTTGGCTGAAATTTGCCAGGATACAGCTCCTTGGCGAGGACATAGAACGGCTCCGGGTTTTCTTTGAAGTAGGAAATTTCGAAAACCGCTTCAGCATGTGGCAAATTCAAGCGAGCAAGATTGCTGTACAGCCCAGTCTTTGGCGACCTGAAATCAGGAACTGCAGGGTAGTTGGTCAATGTCAAAATTCAGAATGAAGCTGGGAATATAATCTTACTTCCTGCGGCGGTAGAAATTCCAGCACCTGTCATGACGACAATCCGCTTGACATCACCACTCTTGATATAGTCGGCAATGGCTGAGATGGTGCGCTCGGAGATTGTCTGTGGAGGGGTAGAGTCGTCCACCATACTTGATTCTTCCTGACCCATCTTGGAGAAGGACGAGCACGGAACACAAAAACGCCGCTGATGCTTTTCGCTGATGCTTTTCACGACGCCTTCGTCTTGTTGTGGCGATATAAATTGACGATTATAGAGGTATTAAGGGAAGTTTCATTTGATCACTTGGTGCTGGTGCATGCAGAAGGCGGGCCGCCGTTTGGGCACTGTAGTCGGTTACGCTACGGAATTTTTATCGATAAGATTTTCAGATGGTAAACGGGCAGCGGTACCAAGCTAAATAGCCGCCAGTCAACAACACGCTCTTAGGTTTATTATAACCAATTTAAGGCGACGCAATTAATCATCGACTCTATCGAAAGAAGAATTTATAGTATTTTCAGAAAATGAGAAGACCTTGATTTAGAGAAACTAAGCCGAAAGAACAAATTAAATAACTGAAAAGAAACTATTGTCTACTTAGTGACTACAAGTAGAGGTAATTTACCCACATTGTCGACATTTACTATTAAATAAAGGCGGCCATATGCTTCAGGGCCCGCGACTTTGAGAAAACATGATCGTATAGCAACCATAAGTAACGTCCTCATGATGACGTCTTCTGGACCAAGGTTTCAACCATTTGACAGTTCACACGGGCCGCGAAGGCTTCACAGAAACAGGAAGAAATGCTCAGCGGCGGCAAATTGAGACTTCTATTCTTCAGGAAACATCGCTACATTGAGTGCAAGAAAAAGTTTCCTCTCGCCGTAGCTGATCGGAGCTTCGTAGTTATGCTGCTCGCGGACTGTGACGAGATACTAGGATTGTTGAACACCACTGCGATGGTTCGATGCTTGTCACGAAATGTATCCTCGGAGAGTGGCTCGTTGCTCAGAACGTTTAGAGGGCGAGTTGAAGTTTCCGATCACGAGAAGAGAAGATGAAAGAGTTGAAGGCATGTGGAATGAGCATTCCGATTTGAGACCCAGTGGGTGGCAGCACTGAACTGGCGACGCCTCCCGACTGCGGGCCACTGAGCGCCGACACGCAAGGAAACGCTGAAAAAAAGATAGTGAATTGAAGTCCTCTAAAACGAACGCCAGACAAATGTTTTAAATCGCAACCGAAATTCAGATGAACCGGGGCCGAATAATTAGCCGTGGCGTTCCCTGGCCTGGGCGAACTGCTCCTCTTGGAGACGAGCCAGTTCCTCCATGGACATGCCGCTGTTAGCAAACTTGTCCGATTTCTTCTCTCGGCCCTGTTTCTGATTTATTAGCAGGCACCATGGAAAAAAGGGGCGAAGCTGTAGGGCGCGAATCCGGGATACGCTTCTCTGTGGCGGGCTGCATACCTTTTGGGTTTCTTTGTGTTCTGCGGCGGCTTCCATGACGGCGGGTACGTAATCGGAGAAGCCGAGCTGCTCGAGGGCCTTTGTGATATGGTCACAGGCTATAGTCTTCTTGGCTTCCTTTTCAGAAATCTCGTTGGCCTCTGATGAGATTAAGGTGATGAACTCGACACAACATTCTATGAGAAGGTCGCGACTCTCCCTAGCAAAGGCAACGCCGGCTGACGGCGGCAGAATTTCTGTGACAATTTTCTGGACGGTAGCTGTGAAAAGGTTAGTTCCATGTAGTGCAGCGTGGCGCGGGATGGATGAGACTGAAGGGCCAACAAAGCGATGGCTGGAATCTGGGGTGGATGTGCTCATTTTTTTTTGTTCGCGGCGCAACCAATCTTTACAAACGTACCTTTGGGCAGCGAGAGGTCGTCATTGCCTGGGTCAAATGGTCAGTAATTCATGTGCACGTAAAGAAAATCGACGGTGACGAAGGGCAGACGCAGGCCACGCAAGTGGTGGCGCGGCAAAAGCGGCATGCGTGTCAGTGGCTTGTTTATGTAGCAGGGCGGCTCACCTCCAAACTCATGGTCCGACATGTTGCAAACGCGTTGCTGGCAAGCAGCCAAGCGTGAGCTGCAGATGAAATGGGAGGGACGATAAAAGGAATTAAACAAGGAGATGGCCGCGGCATCCAAAGAGGACGAAGAGCGTTGAGATGCGGATGACCAGGTGCAGGGATAAGCAGCGAGTAATCGCGACAGCCAAGTCCCGTCACCGACGAGGTTCGATCAGAGAGAGCTTTGGGGGCTGCGTCGAGGTCGTTGGTGGGATGGTGGGGTAGCTCAGTTGTTTAAATACTTGAATACACCGACCTGGTGCATCTGTAGGTACGGAGTAACTAGCAAGGCTTCTTGAGGCGCCTGGAAATGCAATGTGGGAAGCGTCGGGCGAGTCAAGCAGCCAACAGGCGGGTAACGAGACCGGGGAGGTTAGGGGGGCCAGGGAGTGTTTTTGTTAGGGAGGCCAGGGGAGGCAGCCTCTTTTATCATTTTATCAATCGTCATGTTTTTTAGGGGCAAAAGTTGAGCGCGCTGTTTTCGGATGACCACGCGCACCTAGTGGCGCTGGTGCTTGCTTGCCTTTGTTCCCTGTTGCTCACTGTTGTTCAAGGGAGTTAGTTGTCCACTCACTCTAACACTGAGGAACCCTTGGGACTCAAAGCCTGGAGCTTCGCGCGCCAAAAAACCCAGTGGCCCAGCACGCTACCTCCCACAGGTACTAACTTACAGAGCGGAGAGGCTCCAGCAAAAAAACACCGTGCACGGACCAGCTCCACGCTACACCTTTAGTACAAATTTTTGGCTCTGGAAAATTTCCTTCCTTCTCTTCCTTCACAACATCAACGCAACACGAATGCTGCGCCCACGCTTTCTTCGCCGTCGTTCTCTATGAACTTGACGCAAGATGCGAAAAGTGCGCCATTATCTGTGCTGCCAGTCTTTCATGCCCCATCATTTTTCTCCAACAGGTAAGCACCATGTGCAATCTTTCACCTCGCGAGCACCCTCTCCAGCCTACAAGTACCACGGTCCCCGTCCGGTCTTCTATGATGAGAAATGTTGTCGCCCCAGGCTTAGGAGGTTCGACAAGCTTCCGATGCCGAATGACCAAGTCTAGCCAAATGACACTTTGCTGAAATGACTACAACCGTAGTTGTGGCTACTCTGCTCGCGCTGTCTCGCACATTAGTCGAGCTCGAAGCTAACAACTGCCGATTAGGAGTGCCTGCTTTGCTTGACTGCGACCGATCGATACCCGTCGACAAGACCTGAACCGACTATGCAAATGGTAAGGACTACATTTTGCCTTGCTGCCGTGATACCCTTGCTGTGATGATACAATCTTATTCCATGCTAATACTGAAATTCCATGTGGAGTCAAATAAGAGCTTTTCATCTTTCGACTGATTGCAAATCCCCTTCATCTATTTGTCTTGCCATCTATATGATTGAAACAATAGGCTAATATGACTTTGACTAGTACTCGACCCGCCTTCGCGACGCATTTATGCCTACTCTTGGTAGGCAGCCAGTTCAGGTGAGTTCCAACTGTTTTCATGTTAGCCAGGATCCCTCAATCGCAGACGATTCTGTTCTTACCCCGTAAACTTGCCGCTGAGTTCCTTGGACGGCGAGGCTACAAACCGCGCAATGACGTTGCCGGGCTGCTCTGGCTTGAGAAGCCCTCCCGACTCTTTTGCTTGTACAAAGGTGTCGTAGACTGCCTTGTCCATGGTGTTGGAACCCGTGTCCCTGATGAGCTGCTGCATGTCGGTGTCGACGCGGCCGGGTTGAATGGCAATGCTTGTAATGTCCTTTTCTTCAATGGCGAGATGACCAGATAAGGAGTTGATGGCCGCCTTGGAAGATCCGTAACCGCCCCAAGCCTGGTATGTCTTTGCAGCGGCGCCAGAGGAAACCCAGACGATGCAGCCTTTCGTCTTGCGTAGTTCAGGTAATGCCGCCTTGGCCTGTGATGTATGGTGAGCTTTCATGCAACGCATGTCGCTTTCTATGTCTCTAGACCTACCAAGGCGAAGCAGCTGACGACGTTGATCTCGTACATGCTCCTAAAGCTCTCAACGCTCATGTCCGCCAGCGTCGTATTCTCTAGGACACCGTGGTTCACCACTACACCGTCGATGCGCCCAAACTTGTTGACGGCGACCTCGGCCAGTCTCGTGGCAATCTAGCTCTCCCAAAGATTAGCCTTTGCACACTCTCCCGCGCCGACTTACTTCCGTCCGCTCTCCCCTAACACGCACCGTAGGATCGGCCATGTCGCCCGCCACGTATTCCACCTGGTCCGGGTGCGCCGCCCGCACGCGCTCCAGCAGGTCCCCCGAGCGAGCTGTGAGCACCACCTTGTGCGCCTGCCCGAGGAGGTGGCGCGTGACGGCGGCGCCGATGCCCTTGCTGGCGCCGCTGACAATGAAGACTTTGGCCATGCTGATTCTTTCAGAGTCGAATCAAAGGGAGTTTGCAATAGCGGGTTGGGTGTGCAGGGTTTACAAAACTTGGTGTATCTTTTTTTTTTTTTAGGTCGCCGTGATGGTTTAAACCGCACCGCAATTGTGGGGTGGACTTGACCAACCCAGCTTCAAGCTTTAGTGGCCATCACAACTTCTCAACGAGACGAATGAAGACGGGGAAACATCATCTTGCCATTACAGTGTGGAAACGTTATATAGCAGCTTCCCAAAGTGTTCCTTGAAGATCCCCCGGCGACTACAACATGACCATCTCCCCTTAAACCACTTTAGTCGTATCACAACAGCTCCGCCCGCAAAGCCGCAATGTCCTCTGCGCTCGCCCTGCAGCACCCTCCCACGAGAATCTGCCTCCATCTACCACGGCTCCTCGTCGCCCTCACCACGGCCGCGAGCTGCGCAGCCCACGACGGGCCGCCGCCGCCCTCCTCCTGCCCTTCCCGCGCCGCCTCGGGGACCTCCCACCGCTGCGTCGTCGTGTCGTAGACCTCGCCGTTGGTGCCGTCCGGGTACAGCACGAGCGCGGGCCACGCGCGCGCCGCGCCCTCGCGCAGCAGCGCCTCGACGCCCGCCTCGTACTGCCGCAGCAGGGCGTCCAGCCGGCCGACCTTTGTGCAGTTGATGCCGACGCCCCAGGCGGGCGGCCCGGGCGCGGCCGCCGGGTCCAGCATGGCGCGCAGCGCGGCCGCGACGTCGCTGCCGTCCGGCAGCCGCCGCCCGTCGGGGTACAAACACGAGACCCAAAACGGCAGCGCGGCCAGCGCGGCGTCCCCCGCGAGCGCCCCGCGCATGGCGACAATCTCGTCTACGCGCGGCACCGTCTCCAGCGCGACGAAGCTGACGCGCGCAGCAATGTCCTCGACGGCGGCAAACAGCCGCAGCCGGTCGGCGTGCCACGCGAGCAGC